CTGAAGCAGCTTTTCACTGCAGCCACAACGTTCCCTGTTTCTCCTTTGTCGGGAGATTAATGGCTGGTGTTCTGGAATATCAGGAGGATGTTGCTCAGCACACGAGGAGGCCTCAGACTGAGGTGAGTCAGGGGAAGGGAGCAATAGCCCAGGACCAGGTCTCATTGCTGATATTGAAGGGCCAGATTGGAGGAGGCCCGATGCTGAAGAGCCAGACTGGAGGAGGCCCGATGTGGGAGGGCCAGACTGGAGGAGGCCCGATGTTGGAGGGCCAGACTGGAGGAGGCCCGATGTGGGAGGGCCAGACTGGAGGAGGCCCGATGTTGGAGGGCTCAACTTTGAAGGCAAAGGCCTGGTCGATGCACATGCATCAATGCCTCCAAGGATGCCTTCCAATGCCTCAGGATGGCCAAAACTTTCTCTTCCTCTGCATTCAGAGGAGGAACGGAATTGATACCCCCACCAGTCTTTTTTGCATTTATTTTTTGCCTGATTTCTGTCCAAAGTTTCTTTTTGTCAGAATTCGTAATTGTGTTTTTTAGCTTGGAGAACAGCTGGATTTTATAATTTTCCACCTCCTCCAAAAGTTCTTTCTTTGTAAATTGTGGCTTTCGTGTCATTTTTCTGTCAACTCTCATTAAACCATGGCTGTATGGCAAGGGGACTTAAATAGGAAATGATCTTCAGCAAAATAAGCAACAGGTGTGCACAACAGTAGATCAATCACAGTCTTTTCAAAACCCATAATTTCTTTTTATTGTAATTTTGCTGATTTATCAATATTAAATAAGAAAATAAAAATGAGTTCATATGAAATAAAATTAAGTTATATACTTTGTGATCAGAAAAGAGCACATTTGAACTCTGTGTAGACCTATATATGTTTTATCGTACAAATAATGAATGTTGCGTGGTTACGTTATTACTCCACTCCTACGTAACGTCACTACGAAAGCATTGAATGCGAGCAGAAAAAAGAAGAAAACCATTTTACAGTAGGTGGCGGTATGTGCCCATGGCAACAGTCCGCCATTACATGGAAGAAGAAGAACGTCATAATGACAGCTCAAACCAACGTGGTTCTAACGATGGATCTGCGACACAGGTACTATGGTTCAATTCGAACACACCTTTTGTCTGGTCACGTGATCTCAACATGTCTGTTCACATGAGGCGACCTGCTCCATGACAAATAAAACCACTTCAGTTAAAGGGATAGTTCACCCAAAAGTGAGAATTCTGTCATTAATTACTCACCCTCAAGTTGTTCCAAACACGTAAGACCTTTGTTCATCTTCGGAACACAAATTAAGATATTTTTGATTAAATCCGAGAGCTCTCAGACCATAGACAGCAATGCAACTTAAATGTTCCCAGGTCCAGAAACGTAGCAAGGACATCGGTCATCAGTCATAGCAAGGTCTCTCACAATGCCGGCACGTCACTGCAAACGGGATGAGGAGGAAAAGTAGTGTTGAATAAAGTCATTATTATTGTTTTATTTGTGTACAAAAAGTATTCTCGTAGCTTCGTAAAATTACAGTTGAACCACTGATGTCACATGGACCATTTTACTGATGTCCTTGCTACGTTTCTGATCATGGTAGTACCCTTGCTGTCTATGGATTTTATCTAGGTTATTAGACTATTATGCAGTAATGCTCTCTCAGTCATTTCTCAGTAAACTTTTTCTATGCAATTTCTATGCCAATCAGCGGTAACCAGGGGCGGACTGGCCATCTGGACGTTCTAGAGAAGTCCAGAACGGCCGTCCACCTGGCTGGTTCATTATCAAAGAAAAAGTGTAAGATTAATTGACGTTGACGGTGACGTATTTTTGCTTATAAGAAACTGAAAAGGAGAGTGGGCTTGTGATGGCAAGCAAAAGACGTGAAGATAAAGGCGGTTGGGAGGAGCTAAAAGAAAAAAAAAATCGAACAGTTACATCAGGTTACCTTTACCTGCCTCTCTCACTAGAGCATGTGGCCTATAGCACTATAGTAAAATCCCAGGACACCCCTAGTCCGAGCGTCCACTGCTATTTATCACTCCGCATTGTCTGACATTAATATTCCATTCATTAATAAAGAGACAACAGCGATTCCACAATGGGTTACATTTGAGAGCTATTGAGTTAGAAAATAGAGTACAAGAAGTAGCCTCTAATGTGATTAGTCTGATTAACATGACACACACGTTTGTTTCTGTGAATTGTGGGGACTTTCCATAGACTTCTATTACTTTTATACTGACCAAACAATATTTTCTATCCCCTAACCCTAAACCTACCCCCTACAGAAACCTTTTTTTAAGAAATCTGTTTGTTTCACGGTCTAGACTCTAGGTTTATGTTTATCATTGTCATATTATACATTTTGTGTTCTGCTCTTTTTATGTAGATTTCAAGTATTTTAGTTTATACAATAATGCATTTATTTCTGTCCCCTGCTGAAAAACAAACAAACAATAGAAACAATCACATAATTTGTAATGGTTTTACTGGTTAAATGTAATCGTGCCTATTGGTTTCTACTGGTAATTGGTCACCTTATATTAGTGGCCTTTGTTAAAACCACTAAATCCTAATGAAATATGTCCCAAAACACACTACAGGAAACCATTATTTAATGGTAAAAAGCTGATGGTTTGTCATGTTTGTAATGGTATTTGTAGTGGAAATCATTCAAATTTCTGTGATGTTCTATTGTTTGTGTCAGCAGGGTCACCATGGGTTTTGTGATGTTATTTGCCATAAATGCGATAGGATTGCTGTAATATTGTGAGATAGTAGCGGCTGTTTGTAGTTGTGGTGGGCCTATTTGGGAGAAAATCCAGGGCCGTTTTTTACTCCCAAGTCCGTCCCTGGCAGTAACATTTGTTATTTTGCTGCTTGGGTCACATGTGAGCTAGACATTTATGGGATGGAAGTTTTTGCGTTGAACAAATTGATCTTCATATTGGTGGGGGGCTTGAAAGGGTAGCTTTATCCCTTTCTGATGAGGAGAAGATTGTAATTTGGTGTTTCTCCACTGTGTGGCCCACTAGGGCTGCTTGATTATGACAAAAAATCATAATCATGATTATTTTCATCAATATTGTAATCACGATTATTTAACACGATTACGAGTGGGCCTTATGACCAAAACTTTAAATGAATCATTTATTTAAAGATAGCAATCGATATACAGCGGGTAAAATAAGTATTGAACACGTCACCATTTTTCTCAGTAAATATATTTCTAAAGGTGCTGTTGACATGAAATTTTCACCAGATGTCGGTTACAATCCAAGTAATCCATACTTACAAAGAAAGCAAAACAAATAAGTTCAGAAATTACGTTCTATGTAAAAGTAGAATGACACAGGGAAAAAGTATTGAACACATGAAGAAAGGGAGGTGCAAAAAGGCATGGAAAGCCAAGACACCAGCAGAAATCTATCAGTAATTAGAAAGCAATCCTGCCCCTAGTCAGTGGAAATTAATATTAGTTGGTTCAGTCCCAACTGTTGGCCTATAAAAAGATGTCTCATGACCAACGTGTCACACAAGAAACATTTCATGATGGGTAAAAGCAAAGAGCTTTCTCAAGACCTTTACAACCTTATTGTTGCAAATCATACTGATGGCATTGGTTACAGAAGCATTTCAATACCTCTGAATGTTCGAGTGAGCACTGTACATCAAGAACATCATTTCACCATAAACCGGCCGTGGCCAGGTGCTCCTTGCAAGATTTCTGACAGAGGAGTGAAAATAATTATCAGAAGATTTGTCCAAGAGCCAAGGATCACTTGTGGAGAGCTTCAAAAAGACCTGGAATTAGCATGTACAATTGTTTCAAAGAAAATAATAAGTACAATAAGTAAGTGTAGCACTGGCAAAATTCATATAATTGAAGGAAGGATGAATGGATAAATGTACAGAGACATTCTTCATAAAAATCTGCTGCCATCTACCAGGATGATGAAGATGAAATGAGGGTGGACATTCCAGCGAGACAATGATCCCAAACACACAGCCAAGGAAACTCTCAATTGGTTTCAGAGAAAGAAAGTAAAGCTGCTAGAATGACCAGTCAATCAAACCTGACTTGAATCCAATAGAAAATCTATGGAAAGAACTAAAGATCAGAGCTCATAGAAGAGGCCCACAGAACCTTCAAGATTTGAAGACTGTGTGGAAGAATGGGCCAAAATCACACCTGAGCAATGCATACGACTAGTTTCTCCATACAAAGGCTTTTGTATGAGGTATTAAATAAATTTCAGTAAGCGTGTTCAATACTTTTCCCTGGGTCATTCCATTTTATTACACAGAACTTAATTTCTGAACTTATTTGTATTGTTTTCTTTTGTATGTATGGATTACTTGGGTTGTTACCGACATCTGGTGAAAATTTCATGTCAACAGCACCTTTAGAAATATATTCTGACCGTTTAGTTGCGCACCTTGAGTTAAAAGATTATTTTTATGCATACACAATCCTCCCGAGGAACAGCGCAAGTTTTTTTTTCTCGCTTTTAAAACCATGAATACATCTAATTAACTTAAATCAAGCACGTCCCATTTTGCAAAAGTCACTTTACATGATTTTACTGATTTGCACGTGAAATTGGGCTTTTATGGATGAGCGAAAGCGCACCACTACAAAGGGGGCAGAATGGGGCGCAATAATCGTTTTATCTCGATTATTGTATTTTTATAATCGTTGGAGGCCGAAATCGAAACTGTATTCCGATTAATTGCACAGCCCTACGGCCACCCTTCTGTCCTCCTGTTGAACTTATTTGCACAGTCCAAACACATTTAGAAAAGCTTGGTACCAAAGGTCTTCTTCTTGCACACTACGAGGTGTCTGGCTGTTGTCCTAGCATCTATATCTGATGGCGTTGGACAGTTTCCTTATGTTAGTCCACCAAGATCCAATCAAAATGTGAAATACATACAAGAAAAATACATCAGTAGCATTGGTTTCACACAGCATTTTTCTTATCATACTCTTTAATAAAGGACACAAACAAAGTCTCACATTTGCTTTTTCTAAACTTGTTTTCACAGTGTGGAAAATTGCAATTTTATTCCAGAATGAGTTTTCAAATGATGTTTCAGCTCTGTGCTATATGAGAAACTCATTTCACACTGATGACATGTGAACGGCTTCTCTCCGGTGTGACTTCTAATGTGAGTCTTTAGGTTTCCTTTAACCCTGAAACTCTTTCCACACTGAGGGCAGGTGAAAGGTTTCTCTCCAGTGTGAACTCTCAGATGAGTCTTGAGGTGACCTTCTCTTGAACAACTCTTTCCACAGAGGTGGCACATGAAAGGCTTTTCTCCAATGTGAATTTTAACATGGCCCTTAAGATGTTCCCTCTCTATGAAACTACTTTCACACTGATGACATTTAAAACGGTCCTCTCTTGAGTGAATCCTCATGTGATTATTAAGGTTTTCTTTATATCTGAAACTGTTTCCACACTGATCACATGTGTACGGTTTCTCTCCAGTGTGAGTCCTGAAGTGAGTCTTAAGTTTTTCTTTACGTGTGAAACTCCTACCACACTGAGGGCAGGTGAATGGCTTCTCTCCAGTGTGAATTCTAATGTGGGCATAAAGTTGTTTTTTCTGCGTAAAACTCTTTCCACAATGTTCACATACAAATGGATTCTCTCCAGTGTGAATTCTCATGTGAGTCTTAAGGTTTCCGTTACGTGTGAAACTCTTCCCACACAGTTTGCAGGTGTAAGGTCTCTCTCCAGTGTGAGTTATCATGTGGGAATTAAGGTTTTTTTTCTCTGTAAAACTCTTTCCACACTGAGAGCATATGAATGGCTTGTTTCCAATGTGAATTTTCATGTGGACTTTAAGACTTTCTTTTTGACTGAAAATGTGTCCACCCTGTTGGCAGGCGAATGAGCTCTCTCCAGTATGAATCCTCATATTGGAATTAAGGTTTGAAGTTTGTGTTTTTTGAGCTTTTTTTGGTGAGGAAGTATTTTCATTCTGTGAGCAACTAATCAATTTTTCTTCAGTTATGAACTCGTGATGTTCCTCACACTGATCTTTCTCTTCGGTTTCGTTCAGTTCTTCACTATCCTCTTTCAGTGCCATCAGGTCTGAGGTGAAATAAAAAAAAAAATACAAGTTAAAACCAGTTTAATGGCACAATGCAACAAGCATCACAACATTTAGACTAGTGCTGTCAATCGATTAAAAAAATTATAAATTAATTGCACATTTTATATTACATTGCATATTAATATATTTATATTGTCATAATTTCACATTGAATCTCCAAATTAATGTAGAAACAACATAAAGATTGTGTATTTAAAATACGTGGTTTAATGGTGTCTTTTTTACCAATATATTACCAAGCCTATTATTAATTAAGGCAAATATCATTGATACAAGTACTTCTGATCTCCTTCTATTAAATCAATTTCCCCCTCAATTTTAGACATTAATTATAGCCATTAAACATTAAAGCCATGATTTTTAACATTTGAAAAGCTTTTAAAACAAAATAGTGAACTACTAATATTAAGTTTATAAAATGATACCTTAAAGGGTTAGTTCACCCAAAAATTAAAATTAGGCTGCGTTTTACTCACCCCAGAGGCATCCTAGGTGTATATGACTTTCTTCTTTCAGACGAATCCAGTCAGAGTTAAAAATTGTCCTGGCTATTCCAAGCTCTATCATTGCAGTCAGCGGGTGTTTGCAGTGCTTCAGTCCAAAAGAAGTTAAATAAAAAGCGCCCATCCATAAAAAAAAAAGTGTCTCACACGGCTCCAGGGGGTGAACAAAGGCCTTCTGTAGCGAATCGATGCGTTTTTGTAAGAAAAATATCCATATTCAAAATGTAATAATCACTTTAATCTAGCTTGTGTCAACAGTTGTACATGGAAGCAGCTCCAGGTGGATGACGTATGAGGTCGGCGTTGTGCATGTGCTGGTGAGTCTCGTGAAAATCAACACTTGTTAACAGGAGCAAATGAAGCAGTTTCCTTACTTTGCAAAGGAAAACCAGTCTCCTCTTGGCTTATATCGAAATCCTCCGACATTCTTCTTTACAAATCCTCGTTTTGTACTTCTAATTCTTGACCATTGTTTTGTTTTGATCTCTCCGCTGCGTTTCC